AAAGTTTGCCCTTCCATGATTTCGTCTTATTTAACGTATACCTACCGTAACCGTTCCATATGTCACCAGTGTATGTAGCAGATAGATTGTCCGTAATCTGCACCCCGAATAACTCCAGTGTACCAAATTTCGGCTAATTCCGCCGCTTCAATTCATCTACCGTAAACCTACCGTAACCTCGTCAGATGACACCACAGTATAATCTACATGTCATATTCGTTATCGGCGCCCCGAATAACCCCATTGTACCAAGTTTCGATCAGTTTCGTGATTTTCTCTTATCTACCGTAAACCTACCGTAACACCTCTACATGACCTCATAGTGAAAAATGGGTACCATAAGCGTGACCAGCGCACCGAATAACCCCCTGGACCAAGTTTTTAGAAAATTCCAAAATTTTGTAAATCACTGCGCACCACGATACCCCCATCATGCCTGCTTAAACTACGAGCAAAATGTACCCCGGAGGACTTTTTAGCTGCCCCTCTTCTTTTGCGCACTATTTCTCTTTCTCTGACCAAACTCAGAGTTATCTCTGAGTTCCACGATAAACTGGAACTCGCACCAAACTCAGAGTTATCGCAGACACTAGTTGCGCGTTTGGTGGCGCTGTTTCTTGTGCAGGACGATTTGGACAATGTTGCGCTACTAGCAATAAACTACGTGTTAAGGAGAATCCTGCCATATCATCACTTTTTGGATTTGATCTGTTCAAACACCTGTTAAGGGGGTCAAAAAGTTGCGCGTTAGCTCAGAGATAACTCAGAGTTAACTCTGAGTTATAACTCTGAGTTTCGATAGGTTTACTACCGATCCTGATGTTTTTTTCAGCCTGCCCCGTGAGAAGGATCCCATTCTGGTGGATAGAAGGTAGAGTCCCGAAGGAAGGCGAATGTGGCTTATATCAGTTCGTACGAATGTCCAAAGCTGGTCAGCACCAAGGAGAATCTGTGGCTTTACGGATCGTTTAGACTGATTGATCTGTAAGCCTTGTTGTTTAATAAATTGGATGTCTATATCTTGGAGTTCCGGAGACGTGAACGCTTTCGTGAGGATGTCATGGGTAAGCAGGTTCAATGAACACTGCTGCCCCTCTGCATCCCAAACGTTTAGCACCACTTTCCGGCAATCTTTCACAGACACCTCATTCGAACCAAAGGTGTGTAGATGAAGCTTTGTCCTTCCTACCGCTGGAAGTTGCAAATCCTAAGCCAGTGCTCCATCTATGAATGAGATTTCTGCTCCTGTATCCAGTAGCACCGCAATTTTTCGCAAGGAGTTGCTTTTAGGATCGAGGACTGTCAACTCCCCTGTAGGAAGAAAAGTTTCTTCCGAAATTCGGGGTACTGAGTTAACTTGAAGTATAGCGATCTCTTTTGTTTCCGCATCTTCACAACCCACATGGTTCACCCGTTGAGGTTTAGCTCTTTTCGGATCTTCTTTCAACCGCTTCTTATTCAGTTCCTTGCCTTGTTGACTTGTTGTGCTGTTTCAGCTTGAAACAGCACGATGTATGATGTGCGCCCTGACACTTGAAGCAATAGCGCTTTTTGCATTGTGAAGTTTGGTGTTGTGCCGACGCACAGATGAAACAAAGCCCGTGCTCTCTCAGGTATTTCGATCTTTCTTGTGGGTTTTTATACCTGTTGCAATCCATAGCTTTATGGTCTTCCCCACAATACATGCACCTGTTTGGCAGCATTGGGAGATCCTTTTTGACGAAGGGTGGTTTGATGCTCTGTTCTTTCCCGGTTCTTTCCATATAGAGCATCACCATTTCTTCGTTTGAAATTGTTTCCTCCAAGAACTCCAACAGTTTGTTCATAGAAAATGAGTCTTCCGCCAGGGAAGTGCTTCTTTTCAGTAGCACTTTTCTCTGAACAGACGCTGGAAACTTGGAGAGAATTTTTCTGATGCACCACTGGCTATCCACTTGTTCTCCTTTGTGAGCTAGCTGGGCAATTACCACTTGCAGTTCTTCAAAGAGAGAACGTTGGTCCTTTATTGAAGGTGTTTTCAGCGATGCTTTTTCAAGCTTATGAAGCAACCGGGCAATCAACTCCTGCGTGTTTCCATACTTGTGCTGGGGGAACTTGACTGCTTTCGAGTAGTTTTCTGGAGTCACTTGAAACTTTTCGATTGCTTGGTAAGCTTCGCCGCGAAGTGCATTCTTCAGGTAATTGAATTTGTAGGGGTCGGGGATCTGCTGCGAGTGGACATTGGTGTTGAAGAGTTCCCAAAAATTGTCCCATTCCCATATATTTCCTCGAAATATTGGTATTGGCAAAGGTGGAAGCTCTTTCCCTTGCCTGTAACCTTGTGCTTGAGCCGTCGTTTCTTCTGCAGGAGGATACGCCACGCTGCTTGCTGGATGTGTTGCGCAGGAGCTGTATGCTTGCCTTCGAGATTGCAGCAGCACCCCATAGTCGAATGCTGTTGCAAGGACCTCCTCCGCTTTTGCGGAGTATTCCTCGAAGCTACTTTTTTCTTCTGGGCTCACGTCTTCCAGGCTTGAAATATCCGTGGCGTATTCTCGCAGAAGCTGCTCTATCTTGGCCGTTGATGCGTTTATTGCTCCTATCCCTTCGTTGAGTTGGCGCAAGTTATTCCTGAGTACTTCGCCTTCTTGTGGAGTAGCAGTAAGCGTTTCCAACTCCTCGTCTTTGAGATGCTTGATAATGGCTTCTAACTTCTTTGTGTAGCGCGTTAGTAGTCCCTTGGACGTACCCAATCGCATCGCCATTTTGCTTGGTGCTATGCTTATGGAACTTTGGAAGCTCGCCGCCAAAAAAATATAAGTTGGTTCAAAATCTGCAACCAAGGTTCGTGCGCTAGTGTATCAAGACAGTTTTTCTCAGAGTTTACCGGAATCGTCAGTGCTGTAAAATCGTTAGACTGACCTGGGTTCTTCGTTTGCTCGATGCACCATGTGGAGAAATTGGGTTTTGTGGTTTCTTCAGTAAGCCTTGTTAAACTTGAAGTGCCACGCGGGACTATAATGTAGGAGTTGAAGTCGAAGCTCCAAATACGTTTATTCCCAATCTCCAAATACAGTCTGCTCCAATTGGGATCAGGCCGAACCGTCGCTTCAATTTGCGCGCTCGCAGCGCTGGCGGTCTGCGCTGCATATGCGCGCTGACGGAGAGAGCAGAAGGATTGGAGAGAGATCAGAGAAGCAGGCCGTGGGCGTGACCGCGAAACTCTAACGACGCGGACTCCCGCCATGCCAATTTTGGCCTGGTTAGGATTGGGGCAGACTGTATGTACAGGTATATACAGATTCACTCACACGCCGTATGGTCGGGAGTGCAAAACTTGAGAATATGCTCAACTGGATGATCTCCTAGCGAACTTGAGAATAAGTAGGACTTGAGGGACGTCCAGCGAACTTGCACTCGAACTTGAAGGGATGGAAAACTTGCGTAGGAACCAAGCATGCTCATACGGCGATATGGGCTCTTTTTATACATCCACAGATCTGATAAAACTAAGATCTCAAAATATCCTTCAAGGGAAAGTAAATATAAGTGGGCTGATAAGCGTTACGAAACAAAACTTGAAATGAGAGAAATGCAAAACAAAACTTGAAGCGAGAAAACTGTACAACTCGAGATGATTCATCAAACAAATATGACATGGTCAAAAGGATATTGCATATACTATCTTATATATAAAGCTGAATGTCTGTTTGTATGTATGTCTGTCTGTATGTCTGTCTGTCTGTCTGTCTGTGTGTACGTATGTTCCGAATAGAAAATTCCATTTCTGAACCGATCCGGACCAAACTTGGCACACATACACTTCGGGCCCCGGCGGGTGTCATAGGCTACTTTTCGTCATCGATCGATATCGATTTTATCGACTTTATCGATTTTTTTGCAAAGTTTGAGCTACGGGGCTGGGAGTTCGCACATGGGGGTAATCAAGCATGGGGATTCCGAATACAATATTGGTTTTCGGGATTATCGATTACTTTTATCGATTTTATCGATTTTTTTGCAAAGTTTGCGCTAGGGGGCTGGGAGTTGGCACAGGGGGGTAATCGAGCATGCTGATCACCCCCAAGGGGGGTGATCAGCATGCTCGATTACACCCCCGTGACAAATTCCAGCCCCCTAGCTCAAATTTTCAAAAAATCGATAAAATCGATAAAAGTAATGGACGATCTTGAAGACTAATATTGTATTCGTAATCTGCATGCTCGATTACCCCCTGTGCAAAATCCCAGCCTCGCATGTCAAAATTTACAAAAAATCGATAAAATCAATAAAAGTAATCGATAATTCTGAAAACTAATATTGTATTCGGAATCCCCATGCTCACTTCCCCCCTGTGCCAACTCCTAGCCCTGTAGGTGAACTCTGCAAAAAAATCGATAAAAATCGGTAAAATCGACATCGATCGAGAACGAAAAGTGGACTGTGACGCCCGCCGGGGCCCGAAGTGTATGTGTGCCAAGTTTGGTCCGGATACGGCGGAGCCGGGTAAGCCAGCTAGTTTACAATAATTATCACTTGGTAGTCGATGTTGTCGACAATCACATACTCCCAATTTTGAAGTATTACTCCAGAACGGACATAAAGGTTATTTTTATTTTGATAACGGGATCATTATGCGCGGCACAGCGATCATATGCTTATAGGCACAACAATTCATTATGACCGAGAAAAACTTCCTCTTATGCAGATAAGATCCTCTTTATTGAAAAGAGAATTTCCATAAGTTTTGAGAATTTTTAATTCTGCGTGTTAGTAAAAAAGAGAAGAGTAGAGTAAAAAAGGCCTGATTGATGTCAGAATCTTGTGCTTAACATCCATAGAGCAACAGATAGTTCCTGAAAAGTGGTGAATTGTAAGTCATATCTTCTTAGCATTGTGCTGATGGTACGATGATGTACGAAGACTACGTAACAAAAGATACAATTCTTCTTTGTATTTTTACAAAACAAATCGTGGTTTACAATTTTGTCTTCGTGCTGGTTAATTTTTATACTATTCAGTTTCAACCAGCAACAAACTTCACAGAGATGGACTACAAGGATTTCAATAATAGTAAACGTGGATCGTCTTTACTGCGACGATTTGAGGCAGGAATCAAACGGAATTGCAAAACGCTTCCCATACCATTTCAGTACTGCATCTGTCAATATGCAACATCTGCAGTGACGTAAGCTGCACTCATTCCTTGCTTTCAATCTTTCTTTTTTTTGCAGTGATGAAAAGTTGAAACAAAAACTAGCTACATTTGCTGTTGAACAACTAGATCTACTTCTACAATCTGAAGGAGTTTCGTCTTCGTGTGAGGATGTGAAACTGAAAAAGGTAAACGATGTGATTTTTTGCATATTGAACTAGAAATCATTCAAAAGTCGAGAGTGAAAAAATATACCTCATCAGCCTGGATGACGTAGTGAACCCACAAATTTGAGATTGGCTTAGTGTAAGGAGAAGAACGAAACGGAAAAAGTACAACACTTAATACAGAAAATTTGCGACGTTCTTCTAGTCGACCTTTCGTTTTTTGGAGGTCATTTAGGGATTATGGCCTAGGGTCAAAGGGGACTTCGTGAAAATTCGCAAAAGTTAGGGAAAACCTCTTTTTTTGCATTTTTATCTAGCCACCTCGTGCCGAGCACCTTACTCAGAATCTGCTGTGTTTTTATGCAATTGCTGTCGCCAGCTGATCTCTTGTAATTTTAGGGGTGACTGAACGGATGTTTGCAGCAATTATTGATACTTGCATCAAAATTTTAAATATAAGCAATGAGGAACTTACAACAGCGCCCATATAATGTCCAAGGTGCAATGAAGGCATGCGATGCGTGAAGCTGGCCGGTGTCCACACTATATCCCGTTCCCAATTTTCTTAAATTTTTCTGCGGACATCTTTTCGCAAGGACTTTACGCAGCGCACATAACACATAAAAGACTCCAGTAAAGTTATTTCTTAGTGCTGTTTCTGCAGATTATCAGACGCTAGAAAGCAGCCGCAAACACCTTTTCAAAAAAAAGAAGAGCTGTTAAATTTGGAAAAATCATGTTGTCCCAAACTCTTCTTATCATATTAGGGTGATCGGCAAAATGGGGCATTTGATTTTTATTACACTTTGAAACTTTTTGTTCTCACCAACAACAAGCAAGCTGCAACTTAAACGCCGCTTACATAAACGACCTTTGCCTATTATTCTGGCAACGCGTTACCGCTCCTCTCTCGTAACCGTGCGCATAGCGCCATAAAGAACTCAGACAGGGTTTTTGGAACCTTGCTCATTCTTGCGCTGCTATACCGTAAAGTCGTAAAGCAAATGACATACCATTCGACAGAGCTCTTCATGCTCCTTTAAACAGTGCATTGAACATACAGGATTTCTTTTTATTTCTAGATAAAAAAGGCGAAATACCTGAAAAATCGCGATTTTTGGCGCAGTAAAAAACCAAAAAATCATGTTTTGCCTTATATTTTCCGAAAATAGATAAAATCTGAGGTAGGCTGCATATGGATAGAGCATAAAAAGCTCTATCAGATGGTACCTAGAAAACATGCGTTCACCTGCAAAGAATTGAATAACGCGTATCCTTGTTCTCGAAGCTGCTAATGGCCATATCTCCTGACTTTAAAAGTTGAGGCCTTTAAGCCGTCATGGGTTTAGTGACTGTCTCACCACCCACTCCAGCAGTGGTAGTTTGGGTGGTCTCGCATGTTTCACCGCGCAGATACTGCCCAAAGTTTAAAATTTGTCAAAGTGACTAACTTTGCATTTTAGCCACTATAAAAATTATTACGTATGTAAATGACTCTATATAGGTATTTTCTGAATGAGAATAATTCTTACCAACATCATCAAAATTGGGAAGTTCAACCACTTTTCTTTTTTGAGAAATCTACAGTTATTTTCTAGGTGCCCCATTTTTTATCGATCACCCTAATAACTAAGATATGGATCTCTCGCTAAGCAGATGTGATTTCCGTAATCAGAAGGTCAATAACCTTTATGAGCGAGTTTTCAAGATGTGCGGGTCATATGATTTTTCTCACTTGCTCTCCCGAAGCTTATCGATGGGTTTTGGCTAAAATATTGATGATCTTAGATTGAAAGGAAACTTCGCTTTAGAGGGTTTTAGACATGCTGTTTAAGACTGTGGTCTTTGAGGATTAAAGAATCTTTTGGCAGAGATATGGTGAGGAAGCTGTAGCTAAGCCACAAAGTCCGTAAATTCGCATGCACTTTCCGCGCACCTATTTAGAAGACTTGGCTGTTTGCTTTAACATGTTAAGATCAGTGGAAACCGTGCTATTGAATGGTGCATGTCTCAGGCTCCAGTCTGTGACAGACGCCAAGTTACGAGCTTACGATATCAGGTCTTCATTAATGTTGTCCAAAACGCAAAGATCGCAAACTTCGAAATTCCTCGTGAATGGTCGCATGACACACTGATCGTGCTCACTTCGCTCAGGAGGACTTCCCGTATTGGATACTGTATTTGTGTGTGCTTCAGCTATCTAGTTGAATTAAAAAAACTTTGTGGCTAGAGCTTAGATCTATCTAACTACCTTATCAATATATAAGGAACCCATGAGCGAAGTGAACACAAATTTGTAGTCGTGTTCTGTAACCAGTCACGATGGAGTTTTGACGAAGTATGCGACCTTTGCGTTTTATGCAATACTCACGAGGACGTATTTTCGTAAGTTCGTGAATCGGCGATTGTTATAGAGTGGAGATTGAGACATGCGCCGTTCATTAGCATGGCTTCCTAATGACTTCTAAAGGCAAGCGGGCAAATACTCTAATAGATTCCCGAAAAGTGCAGGCGAATTTACGAACTTCGTTGCTTAGCTACAGCTTCCTCACCGTATCTCTGCCAGAAGACCTGTATCCCGCAAACGCCATGATTTTCGCAAACAGCAGGTTCGAAAACCTCCACGAGCAAAGATTTCTTTCACTTCAAGATCAAATTTTGACCAAAACTCGTCGGCGAGCTTCAGAGCATAAAACGAAAAAAATTAAATAAAATGCACTTTTTGGAGAACTTGGAGGTTTAACACATTGGCGACCATGCAGATTTTTGGTTGTCTGCCTCCTGGGACCAAAGCTTTTTACGGACCAGCCCACATTTTTCAACTATAATTACGCATACTGCCATCTAGAGCACACCTACAGTAAATCTGAAAGGCCGATGAAAAAGGAAGAGGTCATCCTCAGATTCAATGCAAAGAGAGTTCATGGAATGAATTTATCCCAAAATAGTAGTCATTTTGACAGAATTCAAACCTTGACACACATGGTGTGTCAAGCGGTCCCACGAGGCAGTCATTGCTTGACACACCATGTGTGTCAAGCTGTCGTCAGTGTGTTAACCATAACGTTATCAATAATATCAGTGCGTTACATTTGCTTCGCAAAGGCTCGCACTGGTTCCACTATCTGAATGCCCTACTCCCGCATAATGATAGCATTGAAACTCACCGCGCAATCCCGACTATTACGAATAAAATGTAAGCAACTACTCATTCTGAAAGCTTTTCCATGTAAAATCGGTGATTTGCGTGTCTGAAACCTTTTGCAGAAGAACAAACGCAAATCTGAATAGGTTCTTGCATTTTTCATTGTTTTGGTAGTGGCCATAAGAGCAATAATCACCGTGAGCTTTATCTTGTGCAAAAGTCATGTGAAATGTCTGGTAAAACCTTGGAAAATTGGCCATTTACGCAACCCATACTTTTTGGCGCCGTTTTTGTAAAGCAGGAGACTTTTGATCACTCTTTTTGGGCGTAAGTCTATGGGCTTGCACATTTACTTACCAAATTATTTACATCCACGACTTTGCAAAAAATGGAAATACGGACCCGATTTTGCGGGTCAGAAGCCAGTGTATCCGTTGGACGCGCAGTTTACGAGGGATCCATTCAACGAATCTGCTCGTGGTTTCGCTTGATGGACTTTCATGATGGTGGCATGCGCTGTGATAAATTGAGCCCTAGAGGTTGGCTGGAATACACTCAACGAATTTGGTAGCACACACACAACATACACACACATACGTACATACACACGTACATACACACAAACACATATACAACACACTCACATATAAAAACACACACACACACATACAACACATACATACACACACATACACACACATACACACACATACACACACATACACACATACACACACATACACACATACACACACATACACACATACACACACATACACACACATACACACACATACACACACATACACACATACACACACATACACACACATACACACACATACACACACATACACACACATACACACACACACATACACACACATACACACACATACACACATACACACACATACACACACACATACACACACATACACACACCTACACACACATACACACACATACACACACATACACACACATACACACACATACACACACACACACCACACACACACGAAGTCGCGTAAATATCCTTAGCCCGTTATTATGAGTAGTGAAAATCATGACAGTCGAAAAGCATTTTGTCAATCTTTGAAAGAAGGTTCTTGTTTATATAGATCTTGTCTATCAATCAATATACCTCGACATCAATGTTCGAAAACCAAATTTTTGATGTCACTTTCGAAGTTGCACCTCCTGCTCGTGGAAAATTCCAGGTAGGATATTCATTGAAAAAAGCATTCGGTTTCTACCTCCACCTTTCAGATTCCGGTCAGATTGAAGCAGGGCAAACTAGCCTTAGCTGGAGCCACATTTCTGCGACTTGATCGGTATAATGATATGGGCGATTGTATGAGCAAAGAAGTTCTTCGTTCCTACTGCACATGCAAAAATCGGGTACATTGATCTCATTTAGAAAATGCAATTAGTTGTTTGAGCAAAGTGACTTTATGTTTTGTTTTAATAATAAAATTTTATGAGTAGTGTAGATGAGAACAAAGCTATTGTGCACTTTGTGATAACCTTAACCAAGTTCTTATGAAAATGTCTTTCTTGGTAAACGTTTTCGAGAACAAAATGTCAACTCGAGTTTTCCTTGGCAAATGCTTTTGATTTGAAAAATGTCAAATCAAAGCTTTGACCTCTTCTCAAACGAGGGTCTTGTAATCGGTTGACAGTGGTAAGAGAACTAGGTGGAACTAAGCGTTACTAGAAATCACAAAATTTTTGAAAGAAGCAAAAGTTAAATTTTCACTTTGAATAGGTCATGCAAAAAGTTGGGTTAGCTCCTGTGCAAATGATATGCAAAATGAAATTTTGCTGGGCTTTCGATTGTTAAGAAAAAAAGATGTGAGAGTGGAATTTGACACTTTCATACGTTCACATTCTCAACTTTACGGGTGGGGGGGGGGGGGGGGCGTTAGGTACCCAGCCATTAGTGGTATACACTAAGCCACGCCCCTTGGTTCTTCAACAGCGATACACCAAAACCTGGCTGCTAGCAGCTCACCCGACTCGCTAAAGCGCTGGCGCTTGCGACCCACACAAAAACAGTTCGAGATCAAAAGAAATTGCGCGAATGAAAGCGCAAGTTTGTACGCAACGTTTTTCAATTGCTTCTTTTTTTTATCAATTTTTGAATCACAGAATCGGCGATGGAAGTTAAAAACAAGGTAAAGCTTTTATGAGCACTTCACATACCTTTGCAAGAAAAAATATAAAGTAAACTTTGTAGAATTCCAATGAACCAATTTTATGATTTCAATGAAGCAAAGCACACTTTCGAAGTTGCTCCTGGCACTTAGTTGCACAAAATATTCTCCTGTTTCGAAAAACTGCTTCAAATATATTTTTGACGCTGGAAGTGGAACCGATCGGAAGAAGAGCTTCGACGAGAACTCGTCATCAGAAATCAGAAATTTATGGAGGTCTACGTGACCCATAATCTATGGGAAGGGCACTAACTCTCTTCCAATCAATGAAAATTTTGCATTATAGAGCGATTTTGAAGCCAATTTTGATAAAATGTGTGTCAATAGAATAAAAGAGGAAAAAGCAACAACCTTTACTGAGAGCAATTTTGACAAAATCTTCATAGCTTTATTTGGATAAATTGATCATATTTTGGCTGCTGGAAAAGAGAATGAATATACAATTGCATTATCAAAGTCCTCCAATAAAAAACACTACGGAGAACATAGACATGAAATTACAGTAGCTTAATGAAATATCTATATGGGAAAAACACTACGGAGAACATAGACATGAAATTTCAGTAGCTCAATGAAATATCTATATGGGATGCTAATTCCGAAATAAATAAGTGTGCTTATCAATGCGATGTTCCATAAATCTGCTGACCTCGGCAATGACCAAAGTAATAACCTCAAAAATCCAGACAATGTAGCTCACAGTTCTGTGGCAATATTAATGCACCTATAACTTCATATCTCATAACGAGGCCGAACAATATGCGAAGGGAAGTTCGTGCAACTTATTTGCCAGGAACATCTCTGAAAGTGTGCTTTGCTTCATCAAAATCATAACATTTTGGTTCATTGAAATTCTACAATGTTCACCTTTTTTGAAGTTCTCTCGGACAATTCCTCCCACGGATTAGATCTATCACAATTTTTTCGTGTAAAACTATGTGAAGTGCTCATATAAGCTTTACCTCATCACCGAATTTCTGTAATTCTAAAATTGATTCAAAAAAGAGACAATAGAATAACGTTGTGTACAACCTCGTGTTTTCATTCGCGCATTTTTTTGGTCTTCTCGAACTTGTTTCCTGTGGGTCGCAAGCGTCAGCGTTTTAGTGAGCTAGGTGAGCTGTTCTAGCAGCTAGGATTTGGTGTATCATTAGGTACCCGCTGTTGAAGAGCGAAGGGGTGTGGCTTAGTGTATACTACTAATGGCTGGGTACCTAAGGCCTCGGACAGAGTTGAGCGATTTGGTCGTCGCGATTCAATCGCTGCAAGGCAAGTGTGACGAGTTCATTGCGTGACAATCTTCTTGTAATTCTGTTTTGATAGTTTTCCAACACGACCAATCGTGACTAACTATCACAACCGAAATACAAGAAGATTGGCATGCAATGAACTCGTAACACTTGCCGTGTAGCGATTGAATCGCAACGATCAAATCGCGTAAACTCTGCCTGAGGCCTCCACGCACCCAACTTTACGAGATTGTTTATAAGTAAAAATTATTTTTTTGCAATTTCAAATGGGCGGTTCTCGAAACATTTCATGCTTCCAAGACTATTCGACACTTGCTGTAAAAAATCGTATGCGCTGCTTGTTGTCAGAGCATATGATACTGAAAGAGTACTGTTTGATTGGCTACGCCCGCTTGCAAACTGCCTAACATTGGCGATTGTCTGAGCATTTGGAGCAGCCACATTGCTGGCAACAAAAGTTGCTTGAGGTATTTACGTCCATTTTTGCGAAACTCCTCTCTCTTTATCGCTGGGCGTCGCTGATATATCTCGCTTTGTTGTGAAGATACGTAATGTAGACAGTGACAAAGTAGAATATAATAGCCGCGCTTGCTTTACCAATACGTGGCAGTCATTTTGTTTCTTCGGTACAACCCTTATTTCAAAATTCATAGCATATCCATCTTTACATTTCACTTCGGAGCATCCTTTACGACTTCACATTGTATCGCTTTTTTTCAGAATCATCTAATCATAGGCAGGGTCAAAGTGGGGTGTGACATGCCAAACCTGGGGAGGGGGGGGGAATGCAGAGGGGTTAAAGAGGGGGGGGGTGTAGAAGGGTTAAGGAAGCGGGAGGGGAGAGTGGTTGTTATTGAGGTGATATGATGTTAGCGTTAACATGATATCCGTTAACAATGTCAGAAGGCTTATTATGCAAAATACTAATTGATGTTTTGTCTTACCATCGTATACATACAGTAAATAAAAAGCCCTAAAAGCATAAGAGCTTTATTTTCGTAATTAGCATGTCAAAAAAGCATGTCAAAATAACCTCTGTGTGCCAAAATTCACAATTTTTGAGGTTCAAGTATTGGGCCACCAAGATGGTCATTTTCGCACATGTCAACTTTCTTGAAAGGGTAAAATGATTAACTACTTTAGGCCCCGGACAGACTTCACGCGATCTGATCGTCGCGACTGAATCGCGACGAGACAATTGTTACAACATCATTCCAGGCCGATCAACTTGCATTTCGGTTGTGATACTTTTCCAGCCCAAAATTTTTGAATGTGAAATGAAAATGAATGGAAACGTCGGCGATTGAGTCGCGACGATCAAATCGCGTGAAGTCTGTCCGGGGCCTTATGCGCTTGATACAAGTATTACTACTTTTTCGCTCACATTAGGAATTTCACTTCAAATAACCCCAAAATATGGAATTGAGAGCAAGCCAAATCTCGTTATTTCCTTTTCGCTTTCAATATCTCAGACTAGAGCAGACCGAAGAGGCTCAAATCATTTTCGTAAAATCACGAGGTTTAGGTAAACAGATATATATTCTTTCCGCCAATAAACATATATATTCTTCCCAACCTGATTCCCTCGTGATTCACCTAGTAGCGCAGGCTTAGCATCCTACCGTAACCTACTTTCAAAGTATTTTCCGCGTAGGTAAGGACAATAACTATATCCTTTTCTATGAGAAAGATTTCAACGAAGTTCCTGCTTTATAGAGAACAAGGTTTAGCAGTGGGCAAGATATAAATAAAACAAAGATATTTGAATGCTTTGAGGGTAAATTAAAGGGGTGTGCTACACCCCAAGAAGATGTGGCAGCCACCTTTTCTGGGATTGTGCTACCGCATCAAATTACCTATAATGAGAACCTTAATGAACAGAAACACATAGTTCGATAGCCAAATTCTCATAGTATTTGTGGAAGTGACTGGAGCTCAATTCGCCTTCTTTCGTTTAAGCAATAGTTGTTGGAAGCACAACCACTTAAGCAAAAATGGGAAAAATAGGATTTTCAAACCCTAATTCCATAGTTTAACGGATGTTTGAAGCAGGATTTTTTGTATGGGCAACTACAAAAGAATAAGAGGTAATTAATAAGTCGCCTAACTAATAAGTCACTTTTAAAATATAGATGACCATGTTCAAAAAGATTACCCTAATTTCACGCGTAATAAGGCGCGGGGGATTTTTTTCCAAAATCGACCAGCCCAGACACGCCAAAGGACTTTACAACTAAAGGACCCTATAACGTGCTATATACTGCTTTAGAAGATCGCGCAATGTAAGCATTCCTTTCCGGAATACAGTGAAGCGGCTGAGCGGATCGCTTGAAAATTCGAAAAAGTGCACTTATACGCGTGAAATTAGGGTACTTCATCTGAGTCGTCCAATACTGGGAACTTCTGCCCACAAGGGTTTTCTGACATGATAATTACGAATCTACTAATTATGTTTGGTGAAACCTTTATGTCATATTTACAGTACGCAAACGATGCGGGAGGGGCGGGGGGGGGAACAATGAAACAGAATCTAGGTGGGTGAGGGGGCAGGTTATACGGCGGTTGTGTGCCACACCTCTTGCTCTACCCTAATCATATTTTGATGCACGCTTGAACATTTTTCATGCTGCTGCATGTGGACGCTGAGCAACCAAAAACTCTCATGTTAAGGGAGCTGATAAGCGTAGGCAATGCCTGTGTGGAAAGTCGGACCGCCTGACGAAAGTCTGTAATTCTCATCCTCGCCTCCCCCCCTTCCACCCGAGAATGGGTCGCGAAAATTTGAAATTTACTTTCGTGGGTTACGAAGATGTGCAAGTGACTTGTTCATTCTTGTAAACAATTAAAATAATTTTTTGAATTTTTTAAAATTCAAATTAGCCTTGCAAAAAAAATTTGTGCCTGTCGCCACGCCCCCTTCTCTAGATTTTGGGCGTTATGAACTCGCAAAGATTTTGAGAAGCACCCCAAAATTTTTTCCGTGGCAAGCACCTTTATTTGAAAAAAAATTTTGCCTCCCCCCCC